AAAACGGTTTTGGGATAAAATGGAACCAGTCAGGTGGTAGGTTCCCGGTTTTTCTGGTCTAATCCGATTTTGAAAACATTGTTACATGGTTTATCCATTTTCTCCCTTTATGGGTAAGTAATTTTCCACCGGAGAAAATAAAACTTGCCCAAGAAATTGATCCAAAATTTCACTGGAAAGAAAAATTTACTTCCTATGGGCCTAAACTTTCCAGCAAAACAATGCCTCCAACTTATCAACAAATAAATAGTTCACATTTCTGCCCCACAGCACATCTCCCGCCTTGTATTGAAAATATCTCCCGATGATAATACCGAAACTTATAATGTCATTATCGAGAGATGTTCTAAATACATGGTGGGGATGTGCTGTGGAGGTGTTGTGGGGCGGCCCCTTGTGGGGCAGAGATGTGAAACCAATGAATAGATTCTTAGGGAGATGTTTGGTAGTGTGAAATCTAAAAGGTGTGGTGTACAGAGGCGGCCCCGAGTGTTTTGGGTCAAGTCTACCCAAATTACACTCCTAGTGGTGTTGTTGAACGTAAAATGGATTCAACCACACCACATTCCATAAAGTATTCTGCACTATTGTGTGGATGTATTGTTAATAAAATTTAATATTTCAATTATTTATTACGATAATCATTTAATTTACCGTAACGTGGATCAATTCCTGAGATTTTGATGTAAAAAAGAAATTGTGATATTTTATGTTTTAAAACCATCGATAGATGATGTCTATGAGTATTGTGTGTTTCAAAAGTTAAAACTAAGCAATCCATAGTACCTAACATGTTAATGTTTTCATAGGCAAATTTTGTTATTTCCATTGTTGACTTAGGTTATATTTGGCATTGATATCATTTTATGAGAAAAAGGCGTCACATAGGTATCATATTAGAGAAAGCGGTGCTTCAAATAATACCCTCTCGCTTGGTACCATTTTTACAGAAAAAAATATTGCTCTAGGCCATGCCTTGAAAATCGGGAAAGTGTGGTCTAGAGTAATGCTAGATTCAATGTTTTCTGATAAAACGATGCATTGTTGTCAATAGTGCAATGATGTGGCATCAATGTGATATCATCTTGGACATTGGATATTGAAAACATTATTGTCACCACTGGTATCAAACAAAATCATTGGTGTTTTCTTAGAAGACAACCTATGTGGCAGCACTGGTTCCAAACAAAAAATAAGCACTATTTTCTCAAAAAACGGTGCTTACAACTCTACATGCCCAACACCATTTTTATAAGAAAACGGTGCGATGTTCCAGCACCTACTTAGATTTTTTTCTACCACAAATGCTTTGAGTTATCAAACACAACATTGGGTACCATTGTTGCTTTTTTAAGAAACATTAAATTTGGTGTTGCTAATATAAATGTCAACACCTAATCCAATGCTTATATTTTTTCAGTAGAATTAATTGTTTGATGTAATGTGACAAGACAATTTCTTAAAAATTTGTATTGGCCTAAACAAAACATTGCAAGTAGAATTGGCAATGATACTAAACACAACCTAAGTAGTAGCAATCAGGAGTGTCAACGGATCCATTTTGGGTTGAACCCCATTTTAAATCAAAATTAATTTGGACAGATAAATCAGACATATTGAATTGGATTAGTCCAGACTTAATGGTCCAAAGTATTTAATACATTGGATTGGACATGGATTTATATTGGATTGGATCGGATTGAACCAATATCTAATCCATTGATAGAAGATAAAAATATAGATATCAATGGACCAGGTTTGAATTGAAACTGATCTACACTAAAGCTAATTTGAAATAGATTGGATGGTTCAGACATTAGATTTGAGTGGTCCAAAATTCTCCAAAATATTCATAGGATTAGATTACCTGGTTCATCTGTAATGGACTCGTGTTGTTGGACCGCATCACCAATTGACACCCCTATAAATATGACAATGGCAGTTTCCTGGGTTTTGCTTATATTAGATGTAAATCCAAATTATCCAAGTGGATAAACCTTAACCACGATCAAATTGGATTTCTCTTTTTTTTTTCGGTCGACATAGATAAGGTGAAGATGAAAGTTGCTTTTAAACAGATATGCCGATTCGATGGTTGAAATCGTATTCAAAGAGGATTTCCAGATTGATTAATTAGTTGTTTGGGCGGTTCAGATTGATATCTACAGGTAATACAAACAACCCTTATCCATGGATGACACAGTACTAGTCTATTTTGTGGAAATTTTATGATGGAAAACAATGTTTAACGCAGACAAGAGAACGAAAGGCACTTCTCTTTCTCATGTCGGAAAGCGCAAATGGAAATTACTCCATTCGTTGTTAGGGAGATTGGAGAAAGACATCTAGACGATTTAGAAATCTTCCAGCCAAATATTGCTCTAATCTGTTATCACATCTGTGCCCTATAAAGGGTGCCCCACAGTATATCTTAATTGTGTATTGAGAACATCTCTCACTGACAAATTTTAGAAGATATTTTTAATACACGCTGAGATGTATATGTCGAGCGCCCTCTGTAGGACGCAGATGTGATGCAGGCATAATTCACCATGTTATTTATTTGGATGCTGCCCTTGTCCATTCTTTTATGTTATGTTTGATTTGAAGGAAAAGATAAAAGAAAGGAAGGAAAAGGTGGGAAAACTTTCCCCTTCATTCTTTTCTCTACTTTTTCCTTCAAACGAGACAGAGTCTTAGTAGAAAGTCAAGGTTGATTCACAGTTAATTCAATGGTGATGTAAACCGTCGATAGTCTTTCTATACTTGACGATATTATGGACTTGGTCTTCTATATCTGCAATCTTTGTATTATTTCATATCCATCAATACTCTAGCTCATGCCCTGTCTATTATGGTTTAGGACCTTTTGGCTTTCTTTTTCTTTCTCTTTCTTTTTGTTATAATTTTCAGCTACTCACTTGGCATTGGTGGAACTAGTTCAAACATAAAATGTTGGAATTTGGATTTATTTCTCAAAAAGTGGGTCCTCAAATCAATCTTACAATTTTTGTAACTGTACATCAACAATATCTTTATTCATGTTTTTATTGGGGGCATTTTTTTCTAGATTTTGAGAGGGGGTAAATTGGTCAATGGGATTTTAATTCACATTGACCAAGAACCCCATATTCTTTTTTCAGGTTAATGTGAGGATTAGGAAAAATTTATTTTTCTTAGTATCACTTACTCTTATCTCCTATGTGGGTAAATAACTTTCTCACCTTGGGGGAAGTTGCCAACACTTGAATAGGACAAAAATGCCTCTTGTAATAATGGATTTTTATGATTAAAATAGTCTTTGCCTTATTTATATGGAAAATAAAAGAACATGAGTAGGGTAAGTGTATTTACCTGAGTAAGTAACTTATCAAAAAGCGAACGGGGCCTAAGGGTAAAATACAAAAACCTCTCCTATAATTTCTAACAATCATAAAAACCTCATCTATAATTTCATTTTAATAAATACCTCCCATGAACTTTTGAGAAACTTGACAAAAACCTTCCTTCTATCACCTTCCCAAATGGGAAATGTTAAACTGATACACCATTTTTTTCTAAATGCCCATTCTACCCTTTTATTAATTATTTTATATACAAAATTACTAAAATAACCATATTTTATTTTAACAAAAACCTCCTTTAACAGTTATCTTCAAATGTTTTTATCAAGTTAAAATAGGGTTATTTTAGTTATTTTGCATGTAAAGTAATTTATAAAGGGGTGGAATGGGTATTTAAAAAACTGGTCATCAATTTAACATTTTTCGTATAGAAAGGTGACAAGAGAGGTTTTTGTCAAATTTCTCAAAAATTCAGAAAATGTATTTATTAAAGTAAAACTATAAGAGAGATTTTTATGATGGTCAGAAACTTAAGGTTTTTATATTTTACTCTTTTTATTTATGAAGATATTTTTAATACACAACTTCAAAAAGGGCCAAATGGGTGTTAGGACAAATTTTGTGGGATGGAAAATTCCCAATAAATATCCTATACTTTGGGCCTAGTGACACTTTGGTCATCGAATTTTAAAATGCGACAATTTATTATCCAAACTTTCAAATATTGATAATCTAGTACCTACTATTAATCAAATGTTAATTTGTTGTTAAATGACAATTGAAAAAAATACAAATATCCTTCAAGTGTGATTTAATTTTTCTTTATAAACCATCTAAATGTTGACAAAAAATTAACAATAAAAAATCTTTATCACTTCCATTCAAGAAAGTTAGAATCACGTTTGAATGAATATTTTGATGACCTAATCTTTTTTAAATAAAAGAGACAAGGATCTAAGACTATTAATTTTATGTGAATGTTTGAATGATTGATAAAAAAATTTAAATGAAATTTAAATACTAAATTATAATATTTTAAAATTCAAAACTAAAATGGCACTGACTCAAATTACAATACTAATCGAGAATTTTCCCCTTTATGACTTTAGGGTCGAGCTGAGATCATTACGTTGAGCGGTTGAGGTGTGCCAGTGCCACACCGACCCACACGGCCACGCACACAACCAGAGACATAAATCCGACCGACTATACTTACTTCGAAATTATAAAATCACTTCATTCGTTTAATTCAGCTTCCTCAATTGAATGTATCTTTGAAACGTGGCTATTAGCTCCAGTTTCCCTAGGTGGCATGTCTGTACGTACATGGAGCTGAATACTGAAGTTTTCTTCTTATCTTAAACCGACAACAGGGGACACGTTTTACTTTTGTTCGTCGCCACSTACCCTGCAATTAATCCTTGCGTGGCATGTCTGTACGTACATGGAGCTGAATACTGAAGTTTTCTTCTTATCTTAAACCGACAACAGGGGWCACGTTTTACTTTTGTTCGTCGCCACGTACCCTGCAATTAATCCTTGCGTGGCATCATCTTTAGCCCATATTTTGTTAACAAGGCACGTGTATCAATCCCCATGGCATTCTCTACACATTCCTACACGACCTCTTTGCCTATTTAAACGACAACCCGTCTGTCAGGGAAACCAAACATTGATCAGTCAAACTGTTTCTGTTGCTTTTAATTCACATTCACAGTTTCTCCAGCTACCTCCTTCACGGTGGTATTCAGTGTTCTAGTTTACGTCCTTCTCTGTAAAAGAAAAAATGGCGGATTTGCGAGACCAGTACGGCAATCCCGTTCACCAATCGGGCACAGGGGGCGCTCATCATGACACTGGCTCCGGGATGGGCACTGGGGGTGCCTATGGCACGGGCCACGGGATGGGCACAGGGGGCGCTCATCATGACACTGGCTCCGGGATGGGCACTGGGGGTGCCTATGGCACGGGCCACGGGATGGGTGCCCAAGCCGGCATCGGTGGTGGGCAGAAGCAGCTTCATCGCTCCGGCAGCTCGAGCTCTAGTTCGGTAAGTGACCACCCTGATCCCGATGACGTCTCCACTGAATGTAGTTTCTTAGTTTATTAATTACTGCTGATTTTGTGGATAACTGTAATTTGTTATATATGAATCTTAATTATTACGATGGATGGATGGATGCAGTCGGAGGATGATGGACAAGGTGGAAGGAGGAAGAAAGGATTGAAGGATAAAATAAAGGAGAAGTTGCCGGGAGGGCGCAAGGAAGAGCAGCGGCACGACGCAGGGACGGGGCAGCAGACCCAGGAGAAGAAGGGAATGATGGACAAGATCAAGGAGAAGCTACCCGGCGGCAACCGCTAGATGGCGATAGAGACTATGGAATGGGCCGGTGTGGGCTTAGGCTGCCTTTTCCTACTTTCTACTTTGTTGTTAGTAGTGGTAGGCTCGTAGCTGAAGCTCGGCGTTTGCTGTTTAGTCTTATTATCACCAAAAGACTTTTAAAGCCTATACTACATATGATGTCTACGTGTGTCTGTGACTGTATATGTAAGTAATAAACCGGACTGTCGTTGACTTCTTGCTTGTTATTGTTCTTATCAGTACAAATTATATATATTTATATATAGAAAAAGATGGATGAAGGAATACTGTACTTTTTTCTCTTTTTTAATTTTTCTAGCACTCTGCTGCTACTACTACTACGTACATACCTGAGTTGTGGACAAGTCAGTAGTCACTAAAAGTTTTAATAAACCGGACTGGTTTGGAGGACCGGCCGGGCTGACAATCCTCACCGGGTTGAGTCCTCGCGACTGGCTTAAATCTGGGTTGCGTGGGTAATACCGGCCCATTATCATGCTATAACTAACTAATTAGCCATGAGGATTGAGGACAATATTGATGGGGATCAGCCCAAGTGAATACTTCATACTTGGATGTTGTAGAAATCAACATCATGGATTGGAGACATCCATCTTTCAACCCATAAAAAATGGATGAAAGGAAACAGCAACAAGAACATTCAATTCGGCATTTTCTCATCTGGTTACGTGGTTAAACTCTCCAGACCGGGGCAGTTAGGCCTGTTTGGTTTGTCATATGCATGGAAGTGCCGGTTGCTGTCTTAGGTGAGGTCTTTAAAATTACCATTTACCACTATACATGTTTATTGGTGTATTCCATCCATCGGTAAAGTCGGTGGTTAAACTTATGCTGATGGGCATTGACCACCGGCCATCCATCGGTTAAGTCGGTAGTTAGACCTGATCACAAGTTGGGTTTTGGCCTTTGGGTCTAATTTTACACTGTCTAAAAATGCTTATTAGAATGAAAATGAGAAATATAGGGTTCTTAGTCCCGTTTGGCATCAATTCTGAGAATTCTTATTTTTAGAAGGAATTCTAAGAATTCTCATCCAGAAAATCACTAGATGCATTTGGGACATTCATCTTATTCTTGTTTCTCAAGATCAATTCTTCAGATGGAAAATACACAAATCACGATTTATCATGGTTTCACTATCTTCCCTTATTTAAATTCTAAAATGAATCAAGAGTAAAAGGGAAGAAACAATACCACTAATCAGCACAAATTTCAATCACCATGACATCTCTTTTTCATTTTTCAAAATCATTTTTTTACACTTATTTTTGACAATAAAGATTAACCCGTTTAAGATACCGATCAACAAAAACCGAGAATCAACTCCATTGTTTTCCTTTACACGACAATGACGCTTCTGAATGTTTATTTGCTTCATTCTTCAATACCATCATTTTTCCCCCAATATTCGCATTCTATCTCTCTTATCTATTTTAAAATTTCACGTTCAGTGTTTTTCATATTATACCATGTCTTTTCCGCGTCATAGATTTTCCCCCAATATTAGCATTCTATCTCTTTTATCTATCATACCATTTGTTCTTGTTCTTGGCTCTAGTCAGTTACTAGTTGTGATTGGTTACAGTATACAAATTATTATGACTAAAAGAACACCTTAATTATACAAAACAAAATAGTTATTATGACTAAAAGAACATCTTAAATATACAGAACAAAATAAGTTGGATTGGATATGTATCGTATCTTTAAAGGTCAGGTATTTTTCATGAGGGCGTATGAAGGGTGTACTAGGGGGTATATTGGGTGTATCGATTGATGTTAAAAATTGGAAAAAAAAATAAAGGGGGAAAATATTTTTTCTTTGAAATAAACTTTTTTTCATCCTTAAATGCAATAATTTTAAAACTTCAAACCTAATATGGCAAAAAATAGGTAGTTTTTTTAATTTTTTATAATATCATATTGATCTACATTTTTTACATTTAAAATCATAATTTTTTTTATAGGGGAAAATATAAATTAACAAAAAAAATTTAAATAAAAATATTTTTTCTTGTTTACAAAGACTATTATATTTATAGAGTAAATGAAATTTCTTTTTTAAGTTTTTTGACTTTTTGATTTTTAGAATTTAAAAATAAATAATAATTAATTATATTTTATCATTTGATTATAACAATTGAATAATATTATAATCCAATTGATGAAGGAAGATTTGGCCAGGCAAACAGCACAGCACAACAGCACACCTAGGGCGCAAGCACCAAAGGGAAGAAACCAGTAGTCTGAACTCCCTACGAGGAGCCCGACCTCCCTACTAACTACGAGGAGCCTGAACTTTCCCTTAGGCCCCGAGTCACACAAGGCAGTGACCCAAACTGGCCCGCCTCATGGCAGTTTGGGACACTCCCATATCCGAACTCAAGACTTCACCTCGTTCGCCACTCTAGCACTTCGCCTCCGAGACGCCGAACTGAACAAACGTACCATACCTGACACCGAAGAAGTCCGTATCCAAGAGTGGCGCACCTGACTGACTTGGGATCTGACGCTTGACAGCCGCACTTCAACGGTCACCTACCACCGCCACCTGCCACCATCATCGCCAGTCGCAGAGATGGCTCCGACAAAAGGGAGTAGTGGTGGTTCTGTCCAGTAGAGGGGATGACACCCGAACTGGCAGGAGACCAGAGGTAATCRTACCCGAYCTRACAGAAGCTTAGGAGTGAGTGCACGAGGTGGCTATAAAAGGCTCCCTACCCCCAAGAACAAGGTACGTGAACTTTGCGCCATNCTATAAAAGGCTCCCTACCCCCAAGAACAAGGTACGTGAACTTTGCGCCATTTGGTTTTATCTTGCCTAAGAATTCTAACTTGAGCTTCGGAGCATTCATACCGGGTTCCTCCTGGTGCTTCCCCATCTTCTCTGTTTCAGGCTCCCTGTAGCTCCGTTCAGAGGCAAGGTCGTTGACAGCTAAGACCAGTCGGATTGTGCACCATCAATTGGTGTTGTCTGTGGGAACGCTTCTAAAAGCCTCCCTCTAAACACTCATAACCTCTTTTCTTCAAAAACCCAAACACTCACGGCTTCTTCCAGCAACGCCGCACGGAGACAAACATCACCGGGGAACAACTTCAAGTCCCCGTGGTGTGCGCCGGACAGTTCACCATCCCCCTTTCGGTGGATGGGATCCCCAGCTTGAATGCGCCACAAGCAGTGGCGCCCGTAAACCTTCCTGCCATGAGCATCCCCTTTTCTCTCCCTATCGAGACAACGTTTACTGAACCAACTGTCGTCCCCCTGGCAACCAGCCAAAACCGGTTGGATGACCTGATGCAATGCATACGGGCAATGCAAGCCCAAATGCAACAATTCCAACAACACCAGCTCCAKCAGCACCAAGTACTGCACAACATCTTCCAGTATCACTATCAACAGCAGTTTCCCCAACTGCCGCTGAACCAACCACTACTTCCACCTCGGCACCCTGCTCCGAGGCCGGTTAAGGCCTCCCCACAGGATGGACGCCCCCACCAGGGAAAAGCCTCCCGGCCCCAGAACCCCCCTAACAGCCAGGCCTCGTCCTCGAGCCGAAGAGAGAGAAAAATCACCCCCGCCACGCAGCTCGCAGGCGGGTCAGGAACCTCGCCCGCAAGGTCAGCACCTCGACGCTCCAGGCCCGAGTTCCCGCTCACGGAAAACCAATTCGGCGCCCTGGCAACAGGCTACCAGCATTTCGGGACCATCGAGCTCGGCAACACAAAGGCCAGCAGCGCCAATACCAGGTCCACTCAACAGCGAAGGCACCGGCGAAGTCGCCGAACTGCCACCCGTGTCCTGCCTGAGCTCAGAGGTAAGGAAGAGACGAGCTCGGACGAGGTAAGAGCTGCCCCGATTCTCTCAGTTCCTTCCCCCCTCGCATCAGAACTCCTAGCGGTCCCCTGCCCAGAGATTTCAAGCTCCCACCTTTGGACAAGTATGATGGGTCCTTCGACCCCAACGACCACATTGACGCTTTTCAGTCCCAAATGCACCTCGCCAGGGCCAGTAAATCGTGCATGTGCGTGGCCTTCACCACCACTTTCAGGGGGGTACCCTGCACTTGGTACAGGAACCTGGCCCCCGGGTCGATAAGATGTTGGGCCCAGTTCGTGTAGATCTTCATCGCACACTTTGTCACCAGCAAGCGGTGCCCCAGAATAGAAGAAAGCATCTTCGGAGTAGTCCAAAGAGAAGGAGAATCCATCCGGGGCTACATCATGCGGTTCAATGAAGCATGCTTACAGATATCGCGGTTAGACCCCGCAGTGCAGCTCGCGGCGGCCAAGAAAGGAGTAATGCACAAAGAGTTCAAATGGCACATGGTAGCTAACCAGCCCACAACCGTGGCCGAATTCCTCAAGCTCGCGGATAAGTTCATGAGAACAGGGGAATAAATCAACCAACGAACCGAAAGCGGGAACGAGAAAAGAAAGAGGGAAGGCGAGCCCTCCAACCCAGTCGACAGGAAAAACCCGGCCCAGGAGCCAAAGCCGAACCAGTCGTTCCGAGCTCCCTTAGCAGTTCGGACAGATTACACGCCATTAAACACGAGGCAGACCGACATCCAAATGATGATCAAGGACGCCCCATACGTAAAGTGGCCACCTTGCCTAAAGGGAAATCCGAACGAGAGAAATAAAAATTTGTACTGTAGTTTCCATAGAGACCACGGTCATAGTACCGAACAGTGTAATAATCTCCGGGACGAGGTAGAGGGACTCATTCGTCGCGGATACTTAAGGAATTTTGTACAACATGATAATAATAACAATAAGGCAGGTCGGCAAGGGGAGCATGGAAATGATGCCCCCAAATCTAGCAGCATACCAGCCGAACCGTTGCAGCGACAGCCTCTGGAAGAGAGGCCAGTTTGGGGAACCATCCGTGTAATTGTGGGAGGTTGGGTGGTAGCAGGGTGTACTTCAGCAGCAGCCCGGACGTCAGTTCGCGAAGCGGCCCAAGAGGAACAGAACCCCCCAAAAAGACCAAAGACTGAAGAGCCGATCTTCTTCACGGAAGACGATGCGCGAGGGCTCCACTACCCCCACGATGACGCGCTTGTCATTAAACTAAGGATCAGCGACTTCGAGGTCAGGCGCGTACTCGTAGATTCGGGCAGCTCGGCGGACATCCTCTTCAAGTCAGCATTTGACCAACTACAGTTATAGAG